CAGCAGCAGCAGCAGCTGACAGTGCAGCAGCAGCAGCAGCTGTACCAATAGTAGCGATGGTTGATTGGGGTTTATTATACAACCTGGCCAGCTCGGAGACATGCACTCCACTTTCATACTTATCAATGATCTTTTTCTTCATCTCTATTGTAATTCTCACCCTTATTGCTGTAGGGTTGGCACTAGAAGCTTTCTTGGGGCCCATGGTCACTTATTTTCCAGAAAAAGCACCGAAAACACTGTAATAATACAAAATATTCCGATTGTATGCTTGGATGTTACCGCGGAGGCTGGCTGGTAAACAATGCCACCGGCGGAACATGTGAGCGCGTCTCGGACGAAAATCGGTAAGCGGGTTTTTAAGCGGTATGTGAGGCAAAATTTTTGCAATTAAAGTAAGCGGTATGCGAAATAATCGCTATGTGATGCCATCGTTATGCGGGGGTCCACTGTATATGAATTTGTTATTGTATAGAATCAGCCCAGATCCGCCTGCCTGTTTCAGCCTATAGATAGTAGTGTATGTCGAGATGACATAAGTAACATGACCGAGCTGTCAGCATAGTTGCTGATCCCTGTGTTATATAGCATAGCTTATTAGTATCGTCCATGTGATTTAGATACGAGATCCCTTGTAGGCCTGTGACTTTGTGTGACGTCACGGGATGCGCATGTGTAGGCTCGTACCTCTGCCTCCCTCTCACTCGGCGGCAGACCATCAAGACTAGTACACTGCAAGGCTGGGCTCCATTCCTCCTCATCTCAGTCTGACAATATATGTAACCATCCAACAAGTGTGTCTACCTTCAATCCTCGATATCTCCATTTAAGAACCCCTACGATACTTTACACTACAGTTATAAAACTGCAGCATTAACACCCTTCCTTCAGAGAGCAGACACTGTACTTCCCATCTCCAGGACTCAAGTCCGGCCTGCCAGTTTCCCTGAATTCCTTCATAAATGTTGCTTTGCTCACACTCCAACAGCACATCAAGTATTAAAAACCATTTGTCTTCAATGGCTCCTATCAAATACGCTCACGCATGCTTGCTGGAAGTCCAAGCCCCTTGCACACAAAACCTCCTCTACCCCCTCCCTCCAACCCTTCCTAGGCCAACCCCTACCCTGCCTTCCCTCCACTACAGATTTATACACTCTCGAAGTCATTCTATTTTGTTCCATTCTCTCTACATGTCCGAACCACCTCAACAACCCCTCCTCAGGCCTCTGGATAATAGTTTTGGTAATCCCACACCTTCTCCTAATTTCCAAACTACGAATTCTCTGCATTATATTTATACCACACATTGCCCTCAAACATGACATCTCCACTGCCTCCAAACTCCTCCCTGTTGCAACATTCAAACCCATATAAGAGTGTTGGTACATACATTCCCCTCTTTGCTTTTATGGACAAAGTTCTTTGTCTCCATAGACTCCTAACTGCACCACTCGCCCTCTTCCCCTCATCAATTCTATGATTCACCTCATCCTTCACAGACCCATCTGCTGACACATCCACTCCTAAATATCTGAATGCATTCACCTCCTCCATACTCTCTCCCTCCAATCTGATATCCAATGTTTCATCACCTAATCTCTTTGTTATCCTCATCACCTTACTCTTTCCTATATTCACTTTTAATTTTCTTTTTTTACATACCCTACCAAATTCATCCACCAACCTCTGCAACTTCTCTTCAAAATCTCCCAAAAGCACAGCGTCATCAACTCCCACTTTGTGTTTGATTCTTTATCTTTTAACTCCACACCTCTTGCCAAGACCCTCGCATTCACTTCTCTTACAGCCCCATCTATATAAATATATTGAACAACCATGGTGATATCACACATCCTTGTCTAAGGCCTACTTTGTCCTGTTATGGTCTTTAAAAGAAAGGTCCGCTTACATAATTATTCCTAGGTCTTTTACATGTTCCTTACGTTCTATTAATGGACTAATTTCATCATCTTTACATTGTTTCCATGCCTGCTACCTCTATTTATAACTGAAAAGGATTACTATGTAGACAAAATGTTTCAATCAACAATATAGATACCAATTATTGCACATATGCCTTACTCTTTCAACTTGTTGGTATTATTACCATTTTGAATATACAGGAAAAGATAAAGTTTATTCCTGTACCAGACAACTTTCTTACAAAGACAGGCTGAGGCACAGAATTTGCACTCTCTGGAGAAGTGAAGAATAAGGGAGAGACATGAAGTGTACAAATGAAAGACAAGAATAAATAAAGCAGATATAAATAACACAGTGAAAAGTATCCAATCAAAATGGAACTCACAGCAATAAAACCATACCCCCGGCCGGGATTGAACCCGCGGTCATAGAGTCTCAAAACTCCAGCTGGTCTAGTGGCTAGCGCGACGGGCTGGAGTTTTGAGACTCTATGACCGCGGGTTCAATCCCGGCCGGGGGTATGGTTTATTTGCAATCGTGTCATTACGATTTCTTAAGTCACAGCAATAAAATTGGGCAACTTCAGATTCAGAAAGGATATGGAGAAATATTAGTTTAATAACAGAGTTGTAGGTGAATGGAACAAACTTCCACATAGTGCCAGTGAAGTGAGAACTTTGGATAGCTCGCACACTGGAGAGAGAGAGACTCATGATGATGTTTCAGTCCAACTAGTTAATGATCCAAGTCGGACCAAAACGTTATTAGATTCTTTTGGCTAAGTGCAGGTTATTTGTGTATTGTTCCACTCACAGAATTGAGATTTTTTATTATTTTTCGATAGCTTCAAATATAAGTTACACAGGTACATGAGCAGGTGTGAGCTAAGACTTGCCTAGTATGGGCCAGTAGGACTGCTGCAATGCTTCAAAACACATGTGCTCTTATATATCAAGAATATTAAGGTAAGATAAGATTTTATTCAGCTTGTTAACCCAGGGTAGGGAGGATTAGCCACCCAGAATAACCCAGTAAAGTCAGTGCATCATCGAGGACTGTTTTATTTCCACTGTGGTCCTTCAATCATGTCCCCCAGGATGCCACCCATGCCAGTCAACTAACACCCAGGTACCTACTGCTAGGTGAACAGGGACAGCAGGTGAAAGGTGACTAACACCCAGGTACCTACTTATTGCTAGGTAAACAGTGATATCAGGTGGATCGTGACCAATGCCCAGGTACCTACCTACTGCTTGGTGAACACTGACACCAGGTGTAAGGTGACTAGCCCATCATTTCCACCGGTGCCAGAGATTGAACCACGGACACTCAGCGTGTGAGGCGAGTGTTGCCAACCATACAATAATGTGCCAGGTAAACTAGAGACTCACTAGTATCATTATCTAGGCCTTATTTATTATTCAGGCCTAATAAAAATACTAATGATACTATTATACACATGCTAGAACACACATACACTGCAATAGAGAAAAAAGAAGTCCCACTGGGGATCTTCATAGACTTACGTAAAGCTTTTGATACAGTTGACCATGACTTACTCCGTATAAAATTGTCGCACTATGGTATAAGAGGGAACTCCCTCAACTACCTTAAGTCTTACCTCAGGAAGAGAAGCCAATATGTGTACACAAACAGAGCAAACTTTTCAGCACAGCCAATTACAGTTGGTGTCCCACAGGGAAGTGTCCTAGGCCCTCTTTTTCTCATATACATAAATGACCAACCAAATGCATCGCAACTACTCAAACCCATACTATTTGCAGATGACACTACATACGTCTTCTCTCACCCGAGCCCAGTCACGCTAGCCAATACTGTAAATACCGAATTACAGAAAATATCTACCTGGATGAGTACTAACAAACTTACTCTAAACATTGACAAAACCTACTTTATTCAGTTTGGTAACAGAGCTACAGACGTCCCTCTTAACATAATGATAAACGGATCACCTATCACAAAACTCACAGAGGGAAAATTCTTAGGAATCCACCTTGATAATAGACTCAAATTTCAAACACATATACAACAAATTTCAAAAAAAAATTCCAAGACCGTAGGCATACTATCGAAGATACGGTACTATGCTCCACAGTCAGCCCTCCTGGCCCTATATCACCCACTTATTTACTCCTATCTCACCTATGGAATTTGTGCATTTGGCTCAACAACAATAAACCATCTCAGACCATTAATTACCCAACAAAAGGCTGCAGTCAGAATGATAACAAATTCCCACTACAGGCAACACACTCCACCAATATTCAAAACTCTAAACCTACTCACCATACAAAACATCCATACTTATTATTGCACCTATTACATACATTGAACACTTAACTCTGATATTAACTCTCCCCTCAAACATCTCCTTACCAACCTCAACAGAACACATGACCATAACACAAGGTCATCACTCTTTGATGTTCCTCGTGTCCATCTAACACTATGCAAAAACTCAATGTACATAAAAGGCCCTAAAATCTGGAATTCATTACCTGTGAATATAAAAGAAACACTGTCTGTTTATAAATTCAAGCCTCTTCTCAAAAATCACTTACTTACCCACAACTAAATAAATACTGAATAATTGTATCTCATAAATTGTATCTCATATATGTATCTCATTATTGTATCTCATAAATGTCAACCTGTGACCCAATCAAACTTTGTTCCTATTTAACTTCATTACCTAACATAATACTACATTCAATACATTACACAGCAACACAGTAATGACCATATGACCTGTCTTTGTAATACTCTCCTGTACTAAATTGTTATCTGTTTAACAATAATTTTTATACCACTGAATATATCATTGCTTAGTTAATCTTAAGTTAATATTAAGCTGCCCATAATGTTCTGCATACAAGGTGCTGTGGCATGTTGCACTGTAATAACTGTATTATTTTGTACTCACTGTATCATGTTCAAATTAATAAATAAATAAATAAAACTGTTACAATGCCGGCACATATGTGGAGTAATGATCACGACTCTGGCTTCACTTTTCTCACAGTAAATATTAATATGGCGGCTGTGGTACTTACCAGACAACTTAATGTTGTACAGGAAGTTACTGCAGAGTTGTATAATTGATGATAATGTTTAATAACTGATGATGAAGCATCATCATCATGATGATTGTTGTTGTTTACATTGCTGCTCAACATTATTGACACCTCACCCATAACTCACTCACATACATTAACACTTCTAAAATTATTCTTACTCTTTATGTAACAATTAACAATTACTTAGTTTATAATGAGAATATTTTCACGCTTAAATAACACTGCATTTTACAATTAACGAAATATATACGAAATTTTTGTCGATATTTACAATGAATAAATATTTTTTTTGTACGGGATCAATTGATAATTACAGACTAACTGTATGTAACTCATTATGTACATAACAGTAAATGATAACAAAGATAATTATTATTTATCAGTTACATAGACAAGTAGGAATTTGGGACACCTAGGTCGCAAAAATGTCCCCCTTCGATACCTACAACTCTCTTATCCACAAGTTGCTCTAGACCTATTAATTATAAATAAAAGATGCATCAACAAGAATTCTGATAAATATATAAGTTTGTGGGCTGTATATTAAATTAATAAAGGATTATATATATACACACTTATACATAACAGAATGAGAATATCTTAAACTCCATCACCAATTTGACTGGAGATCAAGGTGTATCATACTCAGAAAACCTCACTGTCTATACATGAAAATAACACTGGCCAGAGTTAAAACATCACAGACTTATCTGAGGTTCCTGGAGTTGTCTTGTCCAGTCGCCTGATATCTCAAGTTATGCAGGAATACACATCCAACAATTTCGCCTCCTATTTGAGAGGTGTCAGCCCAATTTTAACCTCTAGAGCACGAAAAATTCTTCCAATTCACTAACGTTTTCTTGGTTCATTCAAAACACAATGGCGAGTCTCCTCTTCTGCGCGAGCACAGGCTTCCCATGTTTTATAACATAATTTTTATTAAAAACAGTATGGCCATCTATTTTCATATAAGTACTGTATTTCTGGAAAATATATACAGTATTTTCCACACTAACTTTGTTTCTACAAAGTACATGCATCAACAACTTTATAAAAAGTCCCTTGTTCTGTAGAGCATTACGAGTAGCCTTAAGATAAACTTGGCCTAGTGGCTAAAGCTCTCGCTTCACACGGCGAGAGTCTGGATTTGATTCCTAGCCAGGGTAGAACACAGGGCGTGTTTCTTCACATCTGTTGTCTATACTCACCCATCAGTAAATAGGTACCTGTGTGTTAGTGGACTGGCGTGGGTCGCATCCTGCTAAGCATAACAAGGGGCTTTCTATATAGTAGTGTTATTGATGTCAGCTAGGACTGTATACCTTGTACATGTACTTATAGTAAATAAAGATATTATACATTGAGGACAGTCTACTAGAATGCTATACACAGCCCGCACATAGGAATTTTTAGTTTGGAGTTTACCTGGCGAGAGTTCCGGGGGTCAACGCCCCCGCGGCCCGGTCTGTGACCAGGCCTCCTGGTGGATCAGAGCCTGATCAACCAGGCTGTTGCTGCTGGCTGCACGCAAACCAACGTACGAGCCACAGCCCGGCTGGTCAGGAACCGACTTTAGGTGCTTGTCCAGTGCCAGCTTGAAGACTGCCAGGGGTCTGTTGGTAATCCCCCTTATGTATGCTGGGAGGCAGTTGAACAGTCTCGGGCCCCTGACACTTATTGTATGGTATCTTAAAGTGCTAGTGGGCACCCCTGCTTTTCATTGGGGGATGTTGCATCGTCTGCCAAGTCTTTTGCTTTCGTAGTGAGTGATTTTCGTGTGCAGTTCGACATCCCTCTAGTTTTAAATGTACATAGTCTGTATAGACTAGATTGTCCGAGATGAAGTAAATTGTCAACTGTTTTGTTTATAACTGATTAGTTTTTTCAGAAATATTTTTTTTTTTCGTGTTCACGTTCCCTCCATATTCTGAGAATTTGACAGTAATAGTCTGAGTGCCACAGATGGCCTTTGCGTTATTTCACCTTGTATATATATGTATTATTATTCTTCCCAGAACCGTAGAGTGCTTGAATACAGATCGATCGATCAATTCCATCCATATGTAGAATGTTTGTTCTTTATAGTTTGAATGCATTACGTTAAAAACTCATTACGTTAACACCCATTAGCGTAAAACTCATGTTTTTGTATACCATTATGATACCATCCATTAGTTCTAATTATACAGTGGACCCCCGGTAACGATTTTAATCCCGTGCAAGAGGGGTAATTGTTATGCGAAATAATCCGCTATGTGAATGAATTTCCCCATAAGAAATAATGAAATCAAATAATCCGTGCAAGACCACCCAAAAGTATGAAAAAAAAAAGTTACCACATGAATATACATTTCCCACACAACAAAGAGAAGTTACATCACAATAGTAAGAGTAGTACATGCACAGTATATATTGTGCATGTACAGTCTACTTAAATGAAGAAATAAATGACACTTACCTTTATTGAAGATGCAGCAAATTACTGATAGAAACACTGTGTCACTGGAGTGCCTTTTCTCCTGGTTACTTTAGGTCCTGTTTGGCATTTTTCTCCAGAACAGGCCTTTATCACACTGTGTATGCACATACGATTCTTTAAATCTCTCAACCAACCTTTGCTGGCTTTAATTCACCAATATGAGCACTAGTTCCAGGCATTTTTTTTTTTCCCTGTTCACCTGGGTGTTAGTCGACTTGTGTGGGTGCATCCTTGGGAGACAAGATTATGGACCCCAATGGAAATAATTGTATACAGTCTTCGATGACACTGACTTTTTTGGGTTATCCTGGGTGGCAAATCCTCTGGGTTTAATTGTTTCTTGGTATTCTCAATAAGCACACCAACAACGGTGCTACAGCAGCAGCAGCAGCTGACAGTGCATCAGCACAGCAGCTGACAGGCAGCAGCACAGCAGCTGACAGTGCAGCACAGCAGCAGCTGTACCAAAAGTAGCGATGGTTAATTGGGTTTATAATACAACCTGGCCAGCTCGGAGACAATGCACTCCACTTTCATACTTATCAAAGATCTTTTTTCTCATCTCTATGTAATTCTCACCCTTATCTGTAGGCTGGCATCAAGAAGCTTTCTTGGGGCCCCATGGTCACTTATTTTCCAGAAAAAGCACCGAAAACACTGTAATAATATCAAAATAATACGATTGTATGCTTGGATGTTACCGCGGAGGCGGGCTGGTAAACAATTCCACCGGCGGAACATGTGAGCGCCAGTCTCGACAAAATCGGTAAGCGGGTTTTTAAGCGGTAGGTGAGGCAAAATTTTTGCCAATTAAAGTAAGCGTAAATGCGAAATAATCGCTATGTGATGCCATCGGTTATGCGGGGGTCCACTGTATATGAATTTGTTATTGTTATAGAATCAGCCCAGATCCGCCTGCCTGTTTCAGCATATAGATAGTAGTGTATGTCGAGATTGCATAAGTAACATGACCGAGCTGTCATCAATAGTTGCTGATCCCTGTGTTAATAGCATAGCTTATTAGTATCGTCAAAGTGATTTTAGATACGAATCCCTTTAGCCTGTGAACTTTGTGTGACTCACGGATGCGTAAATGTGTAGGCTCGTACCTCTGCCTCATCCTCTCACTCGGCGGCAGACCATCAAGACTAGTACACCTGCAAGGCTGGGCTCCATTCCTCCTCATCTCAGTCTGACAATATATGAAACCATCCAACAAGTTGTCTACCTTCAATCCTCGTTATCTCCCATTTAAGAACCCCTACGATACTTTAACACTACAGTTATAAAACTGCAGCATTAACACCCTTCCTTCAAGAGCAACACTGTACTTCCCACTCCAGGACTCAAGTCCGCGGCCGGGGGGGGGGGGGGGCCAGTTTCCCTGAATTCCTTCTAAATGTTGCTTTGCTCACACTCCAACAGCACAATCAAGTATAAAAAACCATTTGTCTTCAATGGCTCTATCAAAACGCTCACGCATGCTTGCTGGAAAGTCCAAGCCCCTTGCACACAAAACCTCCTCCTACCCCTCCCTCCAACCTTCCTAGCCAACCCCTACCCTGCCTTTCCCTCCACTACAGATTATACACTCTCGAAGTCATTCTATTATTGTTCCATTCTCTCTACATGTCCGAACCACCTCCAACAACCCCTCCTCAGGCTCGGATAATAGTTTTTTGGTAATCCCCACTTCTCCAAATTTCCAAACTACGAATTCTCGCATTATATTTATACCACACATTGCCGCTCAAACATGACATCTCCACGCCTCCAAACTCTCCCTGTTGCAACATTCAAACCCATATTAAGAGTGTTTGGTACAAACCTTCCCCTCTTTGCTTTTATGGGACAAAGTTCTTTGTCTCCATAGACTCCTAACTGCACACTCGCCCTCTTCCCCTCATCAATTCTATGATTCACCTCCATCCTTCACAGACCCATCTGCTGACACATTCCACTCCTAAATATCTGATGCATTCACCGCCCTCCATACTCTCTCCCTCCTATCTGATATCCGAATGTTTTCATCACCTAATCTCTTGTTATCCTCATCACCTACTCTTTCCTATATTCACTTTTAATTTTCTTTTTTTACATACCCTACCAAATTCATCCACCAACCTCTCAACTTCTCTCAAAATCTCCCAAAACACGCGTCATCAACATCCCACTTTGTGTTGATTCTTTATCTTTTAACTCCACACCTCTTGCCAAACCTCCGCTTCACTTCTCTTACAGCCCCATCTAAATAAATATATGAACAACCAGGTGATAACACCCATCCCTTGTCTAAGGCCTACTTTGTCTGTTTATGGTCTTTAAAAGAAAGGTCCGCTTACATAATTATTCCTAGGTTCTTTTACATGTTCCTTACGTTCTTATAATGGACTAATTCATCATTCTTTACATTGGTTTCCATGCCTCTACCTCGATTTTAAACTGAAAAGGATTACTATGTAGACAAATGTTTCAATCAACAATATAGATACCAATATTGCACATATGCCTTACTCTTTCACTTGTTTGGATTAATTACATTTTGAAATATACAGAAAGAATAAAGTTATTCTGTACAGACAACTTTCTTACAAAGACAGGCTGAGGCACAGAATTTGCACTCTCTGAGA